GTTGCTCACGTAGCTAGGCCCCTGATTCTTCGGGCTTGGCTGCACTACTCACCAAATGTGCAAAACTATAATGAATCTTCTACAGAACGTGGAATAATATGCCGCCATATGTTTTGTTTTGTTTTTCTCATTCTTCTTTTCTTTTATTTTCTTTTAGGGCCACTGCACGTATTTCTAAGAAAAGAAAAACGAGAAAAAAAAAAAGAAAAGACATATGACGGCGTATTATTCCACGTTCTGCAGAAGATTCATTCTAGACTGCACATTTGGTGAGTAGTGCAGCCAAGCCCTGAGAATCAGGGGCCTAGCTACGTGAGCAACCCATAACTGCAGAGAGAGAGAGAGAGACCTGAATGTCGAGTATATATTCGGCCAGCTCCTGCTCTCGTGCAAATTCACTGCCTGCCTTGATTTTGGTGGGGGGGTCTTCGCCAGATGGCTGCGAGGACCCTTCAGAAAGCCTGCATAGGCTGTCTGAGCCGTGGTTGGGGGATTCCCCCAACCCCCCCCTTGGAAAAAAAAAAGAGCATTCACACACACACACAGACGCATTCACACACCCTTTTTTTCTTTTTTTTTTCTCGTTTTGTGTGGGGCACTTTCGTGGTTTCTTGAACTAGGTCCTCCACCCCGTTGTCAGCAACGTGCGCGCACGCCCCCCGGTGTCGCATTCATTTTTTTCGCATCACGTGGTGCGCAGCGCGTTTGAATGCGATTGAACACGGCCGCATGGGTTTTGAACGCGCGCGTTTGAACGTGCACGCGCGTTCAGCGCGTTCAACCGGTTACACAAGATGGTGAAAAGGCGCCGCAGTGCAGCGACATGGAGGGTGAGTCGCTCCTGACGATCCTGGAGCATGCTCAAGTCCGGAAAAGAGGACACAACATCCTCGGGAGTCGCAAGCTGCTCGCTGCAATGGGCTGAGCGAATGGCTCGACACGTCGATAGCCGCAGAGGGGTAGGAGAGGAGACGGTGGTCTGTGGAGGCGCAGATCGAACTGCGACAGAGGGCTGAGTACACTCTGTCGGGTTTTGCGATACCTCATCTCCAGTAGCGAGAGGGGCGAACCGCGACGGAGATGTTGGGAAGCCAACTACTGAGGAGGGCGCAGGTGTACACTACACTGTGGCTAGGAGGCGCTGCAAGGATGCGAGGCGCCAGGGGGGGACTGAGCACGACGCTGGTGGGAAAGGTCAGCATAGCGGCGGTCGAGGGCGGCGGTGTAAGGTCACCGGGATGAGGTATGATCGTCCTGGCGGCATCGCAAACACCCACGCCAGCCCGAAATAGCCGCGTGCTCCTCGACGGAAAGGACACCGCGAGGAGGGACAAAATCCTGAGGGAGGTCCTTCTAAGGGACCTCGGGGGACGACGCGCCAGGGTGACCAGGGCGGCTGTGTGCCCGAGAGAGGGTGGAGAGAGCGAGCTAGAGGCGCTCGACTATGGGGAGGGTAGGGTCCTCCAGGTGGTAGTGGACGGCCTCGCAGAGGTCGAGGTCGTCGCTATGGTCACCCTCATGTGACGGCGGGGCAACAACGTCCTGCTCACCATACTCGAAGTGACGGCTGTGCTGCGCGGAATGACAGGGGTGGTCGTGGAAAGGGGAACGGCGCTCAGAAGTGTCGTGAGAGGAAGGGGCGTAGCCAGTATGCTGAGGTTGGGAAGAGGGAGCGGGGTGAAGACGGGCCCGCATCCGCTGAGGGGTCGTAGCGGCCTCGTAAGAATGCTAGACCGATGTGAACTTTTACCACCATAACTCGGAGAGGTACTCAAGGGGAAGGCTGGCCAAGAAACGATCGATGAGCGCAGCCTCGGGAAGGAACGCCACATCACAACTAAGACGGGCGTCCTGAAAAAACTGGATGTGGCGGCTTAGGTCGGCATCGCCACCAGAGTTGGACCAGCGTGTGCTGACGACACGCTCAAAGGCGTCAGTGACGTCATGTCGGGTTCCGAAGCGATCCTCGAGGAACGCTTGAAAATCCACGAAGGTCGGGGTCCGACCCTCACGAAGGGAGTGTATGTAGAAATCCTCCTAGGCGTCGAAAGGACCACCACAAAGGCGCATGGAGAGGTGAGCCACCCACGTGTCGGGGGGGTGCCCAAGAGCTGGAGCGTGCAGGTAGCAGAGTGCAGCCACTATACCGTCGTACAAGGCAATGCCCGTCAAGCGGACGAGTGGCGTGCCACCGTTTTGGCCGCCAGGGGATCAAGGAGCAGAGGTCTGTGCTACGGCTGAGTAAGTCGGCACAGGTCCCGGAGAAGGGGGCGCAACTGACTGTACGCCCGGGTCGCATGGGGGAGCGGTGGGGGCAACAGCGGCAGGCTGCGAGGGAGCTGTGGTAAAAGAGGTCGCAGCAACCGAGGGAATAAGAAGAAGGTAGGATGGGGGTGGATAGGGTGCAGGGCAAGGGAAACGCGCCTACATGGAAGGACGAGTAGAGGAAGAAGGGGGTGCGCCCGAAGGCGCGGCCACCTGTGAGGGTAGGGGTGGCTGAAGGCGTAAGAGGGCGAGGTTGGCCCGGGGGAGGGCAAGCTGGTCCTCAAGACGTCGAACATAGATTGAGCGAGGGGTGGCAGGGGTAGACGCATGAGCGGTGTAAGGCATCCCACAAGGGGGAGAGCCAAGTGGCGCTGCGGTCGTGTGAACGAGAGGGAGAAGCGGGGTACCCAGAAAAGTTGAGACCACGGCAGCAAGTTGTGGTCCCGTGGCCGTAGTGACCGGAATCTGAGCGGGTGCGCCCATAGAGTGAGGGAAGGTCTTGCCCGTAGCGGTCGTCGCGCTAGGAGCGTGGACGGTCACCACGATGACCAGGTCGGGGGTAGCGGAGGAGGAAGCTCCGCCGTGACCAACATGTCGAAGGACGGGGGACCCGGATTGCGACCCAGGGGAAGAGAGAGATTGGGGAGAGCAAGGACGGCCAGCGTCATGGAGTTGCTGCAGGTCGGCGGCAAGAGTCGCCACCTGCGCCTGTAAGGGCGCAAGGAGGGAGGTGAGGAGGTGTGCAGGTCCCCCTGGAGCTGACGGCTCTGGTTCGCCGAAACGGGTATGGAGTCCGATGCCGAGGTCGTCGTCACGTCCTCGGCTTGTGACATGTTGTCGGCCATGGGGAGGTGACTGGTCGGACTAGAGTGGGCCAGAGAAGGTTCGCCTCAGCGGAGAGCGTAAGGGGGGGTCCGCGGTAGAAAGCGACGGGCGGCGTTAGTGAGTCGAGCGTGGGCGGCCACAGAGGGGGAAGGGTGGTTCGGGTTCAGGGTGCCCGAATGGAAAAGGGGAGTAGGGGGGTTTAGGAAAACCCTAAACCCTAGAAAAACCCTAAGAAAACCCTAACCGGGGTTTGAGTGGTTAGGGTAGGGTACCGGTGACCTAATCAAGAAAATAAAATAGCAAGCATGGGGGGGAGGCGGGAGGAAAAATAAATAAACAGTGAAATTTTGAGAGAAAAGCGAAAATAAATAAATAAATAATTAAAAAAATTAAAGAAATAAGTAAACAAAATGTGAAGAGATAAATAATATTTATTTTTTTGAAAATTTTAACAGCATTTCCCTACCCCCCATGGGGTTAAGAATGTGCCAAGGAAAAGGAGATGCCAAGATAAGCACACTAAGTTTCAAAATGCCAAAAATTAAAAAATTCAGAAAATAAATAAAGAAATAAGAAAGAGATAAATAAATAAAGAAATAAATAAATAAGTAGATGAGGGAGATAAATGAAGTGTCTGATTTTTAAAAAAATTTCGGCAACATTTTGTTACCCCCATGGGGTTGAAGTATGCCGTCATGAAGAAAGGCGAAGTAAAATGAGAAGATTTTGCCAGCACTTCGCTGCCCCCAAGCGGTCAAAATGTGTTGAAAAAGACTAAGTGAAAGAAAAACAGAAAATTTTGGCAGCACTCCGTTAGCCCCACGGGGTCGGAATGTGTGCCGAATGCAAGAATGACGAAGGGCCTCATTAGACACTCCTTGTGAACCCGAAATCCACAAGGAATTGCTCGTTCCACCTGTCCTCGGCGATGATTCTCGAAAAAAAAAGTGAAAACAGCACAAGGAAATTTCCTTATGGCGTCCTTGTGGCCACAACCATTTTTTCCTAACCCCCAAGGGACCTCCTGTGGTCCCTCAGAGCACAAGGAAGCGCGAAATTCGGAGCGGCGAAGGCATGCGTCGACGCACAGTTTCGGTTTGAGGGTGGTCCAGACGTGGTCCACCGCACGGGAGCACGGACATCCCTGCCTCCACCGTCTCCACGACACCCCAACGGCTCCAAACGGTCACCGTTCCCGTGAGGCCTCCGTCCGTCTATGCGATTTGCCGGCTGGTGTCATGCGGTCTGCTGTGGCGGGCGATCGTCGACAACGGTCCGAAATTCGAATGCTCTTCCCAGTCGGCGCTGCGTTCGACGACGACAATTTCATTTGTGAAGATCATCGTTTTCTTCGTTTGTCGCCACGCCTTGCACGTTGGAGCACAGATCTTCCCTCGATCTTTCTTGTGTCGACGGGCTTGTTCGGTGGACGGTCGACCGCTGAAGTCGGTTTGTTGCCCTTTCCACTGCCCTTACATGGCCGACCTGTTGCACAGGCGGCCTCTGCTGCTCCTCGCCGTCGTGCTGCTTCTCATCGTTGTCTTCTTCCACGTGTTTTTTGTTCGGCCTGGTCCCTGTCGCGGCTCACAAAAGGAGATCTCCCAAGAACAGCGACAGGATGGATCGACGAGTGACCAACGGCAGAACGGCAAACACGACAGCAGGAGCGAGCAATCGGCAACGCAATGCGGGGTCTGTGGCGAAGCAGCCATACTACCCGACGTTGTATGCTCACCTGCCTTCTCATGAGATTCCTCTTCCGCCGTCGGATGACGAGGGGGAAGACGTCAGGTCGTCGACTTTGCCATTGGGAAGTGGTTCGGCACAGCAATGGGCGGCGACGTAATCGTACGGTGGCAGGGGGGCAGAGACCCCGTGGTCTTACACGTCACTGTTGAACGAGGGGTTGTGCGACGACGACGACAATGCAACAGTTGATCTGAGCTTCCAGTTGTCCAGCAGCAGCGAAGCAGCGGCAACGCACACTCGCAATGATCATCAATCCCCCACCCAGATGGGGATTACGCGGAGAAGACGTACGTTGGTCTGTGCAGGCCGCAAGACGACTGTCTGCCTCAATCGCTTCACGATGGTGGCGGGAATCAAAATGTGTCATTGACGAACGGCAGAAGGGGAGTCGGCGCGGATCAACGTCCGGAGTGAATGCGCTTATCACCTCCGTCGCGAAGCGGATCCGGGAGTCCTCGAGAACGGAGGGACATGAGGATTTTCCTGAGGGAGGTGCGCACGTTGAACGCAACGGCAGGCAGCTGTGGGCAGAGTGCAGGCAGACCTTCGGTCAAGCTGGAGCGGAGACAATAACGAGAGGGGTGCAACGGCTCCACGTCGACGAAGGCGATGACGCGGCTGTTGAGGAGCCCCTGGACTGTGACAACGTTAAGGGTGATGAGGATTGCAACTCTGACGATTTGCCTGAGATTAGACCCCTTGGGAGGAAGGTGAGGAATGGCGGTGCGAGTGCGAAGAATGGTCCCGCTCCGAGAAATCGATGGGATAAGAAAATGGATGACGACACCGGCGGGAGCGATGGCAAGGTCGGCCGGAATTTCTGGTCGGTCAGAGACACGATCGCACTCGTGAGGGCGAGAAGGGATCAGGATCTATATATCGCCGGCATGGGACACAGTTTCGCCCCCATGAAAAGCAGGGAATGGAGGTGGGAGGACGTGCGGGCGAGGTTTCAGACGATAAGCGTCACGAGGAAGGGCATCGACTCAGGAAGAAATGGGACAACTTGATGGAGCAATTCAAGAAGGTTCACAAGTTTCAGAACCTTTCTGGCGGGAAAAACTACTTCGAGCTTGCTTCATCAGCCGAGCGATCGGAGTGCTTCAACTTCGTCATGGACTGGAGTGTGTATGACGAGATGGAGGCCATGACGAAGGGGGATCACACGATCCACCCAAAGAATTTGGCGGACATGGAAGCTGCAGGATTTGTGGTGGCGCGTTTGGATAACGGATTGTTGACGGCCTTTCCCTTCGTTGCGCACATGTACAACATGTCGCTCCTGCGTGTAGACGCCCGACGTTTTTGGTCGTCCACTCTGGCAGGGGTGATTTGTGACTTCGCTCGTCATCGTCTGTGGATGTGGTTAGTGTGTCGGTGCTGCAAGTAGAGGAGTGACGATAGACGACGTTGTCTTCAACACGTTGTAGGAGGGATTTCGATTTTTGTGATCATGTTGTGTATTGTTGTCAGCGCAGCTTGCTGCGAAACAAGTTGATTGCGCTTAGACCGCACCTTTAATTTTTTAATCTTGGGTCTTTTGTTTTCGTCAGTTCGCTGGCGAGACTAATTAGTCATTGAACAGTTTGAATAGTCGTTCTCATTAAACATGAATACTTGTTCGCTTGTTCGATGTGCATGCACGCATTTCATCTTGATTTGCTTATGTTATTGTCGCTCATTTGTTTGTTGTTTTCGTTTTTTTTTTCTTTCCGTTTTCCCAATGCCAACCAAAAACCGTGTTTGTGTTTTATTTCAACAGGCTAAGGAAGACAAAGCGCACAACCCCATACAGCATACGAAGTCCGAGAAAACGTGTTGTGAACATGCAATGGCACAGTGCATCTTCGTCCGTGTTGATCATCGCAATGAAATAGCAACACAAACAATGAGAACACGTACTGGAAATTGACGATACAAACATTGAAAGAAAATTACGAAATCGTTCATCATTTCATTAAAATGACTTTAAAATGCAAGGCAGGAGGGGACAAGTTTCAGGCCCAACTGAATGACCAACACTGCTCTCTCTTCTAAAAGACACTTGCTGTTCCAAAAAATGGTGCACTTGACACCCGCAGTGCGCCGTGTCCCCACTACATAACGTAAACGCCAATAAAAAAACTCCAAGAACAACGGCAACGCACATCCACCAATCGCGACTTCGACGAACTGCGACCTTCAATGCAAACTACCAACCCCAAGGCGGGACGCGCACTAACTAGTAACAACCTAATCAAGGTTGGACGAAACAACGAATATGCCCTATGGCCAATGCTGCAATGACTACACTTCCACGCGATGTCGTCCACCATGTGAACACGACTCAATCGTGTTTCATTCGTTCCGCCAGAGCATTCCTCAGGGTCAACGCTTCCCTCGTCAAGGTGATCATCGTCACAGGCTCAAGGGGCTCTTCAATCCCCAAGTCCACACGACGTTGCACACCATTAGCGTCGACCTCCCATACCAGATTCTCATCGAACGAGATTCCTGCGTCGATCAGTATGGTGTGCAGTATACACACGGCGGTGAACTGCGGCGGGAGCATGTCCAGGTTGGTTTTCTGTGTCCGTAGAAACAACCGCCACATGCCTTTCAGCCTGTCGAACGCCCTCTCCACCACTCCCCTCGCCACCTTCTGCTTGTTGTCAAAGCACTCCTTGTCGACGCGCTGATTGACGCCTCCATACGTGACGACCATCCATTCCGAAGGGGGGTAGCCATTGTCCGCCAGGACGTACCCGTTCGTCTTGACACCGAACGGTAGTGTCACAGGGGGACAAAGGAACAACGACCCCTCCTCCGCTCGCTGCGACAGGCTGGACAACTGGAGCACCCTGATGTCGTGGCAGCTACCCGGGTATCCCATGTGCACATCGAGCACGTGCAAGTCCAGGTCGACGACAACCTGCGCGACGATGGAGAAACGGTGCTTCCTGTTGTAGTAGTTTTCGCTTGGTGCGTTCGCCGGCTTGTCCACGTAGATGTGAGTACAGTCAATGCAATTGTGGTAGTTGGGGAACCATTTACGAGTGAACGCCCGCAGAACGACGAGTTTACAAACTCCAGCTGGCCAGGCGATCTTCTCTCCGAATACCCTTAGTCGCGCGGCAGTAACGTCGCAGACGACAACCAGGCTAGAAGCTTGTCCAATCCCGAAGTTGCACGTGCTGCTCTCGTACGTCTCCCCTGTAGCCCACCTGTACAGTGCGTACGCCACAATCTGGTCTGGCTGCAAAGGCTCTCTGTAGAATGTCACCCGCCGCTGAAGATGAGGCGCAAACGCCTTCGCTATTTTCCGGAACACTTGCGGCGACATTCGAAGCTTATCCCTGAAGTCGTCGTCCGTCACGTCGTTGCATTGCCTGAGGTTTTCCCACGTGCCTCCTCTCCTGCGCTTCACCCACCACCGCGGCGTCGCTCGTGGAATCACTCCGCAACTCAACGTGTAGCACAACTGACAACAGCCTCCGACATCGCTACTTATTCGGCCCCATCGTCCGGAGCTTGCGTTAATGTCCTCTGTCTACTCGCGCGCAACCACTCCTTCTGTCGTCCCAGCTCCCTCTCCTTCTGACATCGAAAAACGATCGTGGACCCGACCTCCGCCACGGCCTGCAGCTCACGAGGCGTCAACACATCACGTCTACCCTCTCCGCCGCCCTCCATAGCCACGACCTGCACACGGACCCGTCGCTCTGCTGCCGCCTGTGTCGTCCTTCCGCACCCAACGAAGAAGCCGAAGACGCCCGTCGAAAGCTGACCCATTTTCTCTGCTTGTGGTCCCTCACACGGAAACGAGGAGCAAGGCGCAGTCGATGTGTGCGAAGATCCACGGCGAAGGACGCACCATACGCTGCCCGCGCAGTCGCAATGGCCGGGGGACGAAGCCTCTGCTGCCGCTTAGCCCGTTTCCGCAATACGCCGTCTTCGCGCCGCCAGCCACACCTCGTCGTCGTCGTCGCAATAGTCATTCGAACTTCGAATTTCAAACGTCGACGCCCTTGGGGTTAATTTTTTTTTCGCATCGCCCGCCGTATGCCGTTTCCCGCCTTACGTCGCTGGATCACGCCGCCTCCACACGAACAAAAGACGCTGGACCATGGACGATCGACCCCGGGGCCGCTAATTTCCGTATGGAACGGTCGCGGGCAGGCCACAATGAAACATCCTCGGGGGAGGTCCCCTAGGATAAGTGGAACGACGCCGCAAATTTCCGTTAAGAGCCACAAGGAAATTTCCTTGTGGCTCAAGGAACTCGTAAGGAGTGTCTAACGAGGCCCTAACTCCTAATCAGATTTAAGGGTGCCGCAAAGAAATTTAAATTTTCAGAATAAAATAAAAGTAAAATGAAAGAAATCAGAAAATGAGAAAAGCGGGTGGGGGATAAGATAATTCAATTTTTTGGAAAAGGGAGGAAATATAAATAAAAAGAAAGATAAAAAACAAAAAAAATAGAAAATTTTGAAGTTGGAGGAAAGGGGAATGGAAAAAAAAATGAAGGATAAAGGAGAGAAATATGTGAGAGAGAGAAAAAGAGTGAAAGGGGAGATGAGGGGTTGAGAGAATGGGAGAGAAAGAGATGGGAAAGGTGGGTACGAATCAAGAAGCAAGGAGAAAAGATGTGAAAGAAAAGAAAATAAATGAATAGAGTAGAGTAAAACCGTGGGTGGTGGGAAAAAAGGTGAGGTGTGGAGAGGGGTATGAGTGATGAGAGTGATTAAAGGAAGTGAGTGAGGCAGAAGAGGAAGAAGTAGAGGGGGTGAGTAAGAGTAGAGAGAAAAGGTAGAGAAAGTGGGTTAGTAGGGAGAGGGAAGAGAGAGGGATGATACCTGGCCCTTGGTGTCTCCAAAGGCACAAGGTATACCAAGACCAAGAGAGTCTTGGCCTTCACTGCAGCAAACCAACTAGAGGAGGGAGGGGGTTGAGATCTTGATCAACCCCTAGCAGCAGCACTGCAGATCCAGGGTGTGCTGTGTGAGCAGACTCTCACCACTGTAGAGCAGCCCCTGATCAAGGGGTCTTCATGGTCCACAGTAAACTGCCACGTGGCACTGCAGATGGCCACAGCCACAGGTAGGAGCAACCAGGGTGTCTCCCCGCCGTCGTGGGGGGGGGGGGGGGAAAATAATTTCCTGCCCGCTGCTGTCCAAGGGGGGGGGGGTAAATAGCTCCCACGATACGTCTTCAACACCAGCGTGCCGCCTCACCAAAGCATACTTGTATTGTGGCGAGTGTGTTATAGGGATGGCTACGCACGTGCATAGCCAACACCTGCCCAGATTCAAACCCTGGCAGCAACGCGCATCCCAGTCTTGATAAATAAATCCGGGAGGAATCCTCACTAATCCATCATGTTCAGTAAGTGATTGCCTTAAATCTCCAGTTCAATTTCAATTTATGGCCTGTCAATTGCATTCTTCGAGTTCACTACTCGTATCCTAAGTTTCATTCAAGTACAAAATATGGCGATTTAACATGAAATTATTAGCTTGCGCGTACCAATTTAAAATATAATGTCTTATTTTAACGAATAACATATTTTCTAAGGTACTGAGATGTAACAGAATCCGCCAACCAGAATCGGGCTGCTACTTCTCACCCTTACACACATAAACGTGCATCAAATTTTGTTTTCTACGGACCGACCAGATATTGCAAGGCCACTGATGCTTCCATGATTCAAATTTTGTTTTGAAGGGGGGACAGGGTATTACAGGGTATAGGAGGGAAGTGATATGGAAGGGATGTTTTGGCGCAGAAGAAGGAGAGAAGGACTACAAAGGAAAGACCTCACTCTTAAAACCCCATCCCCCCCCCCCCCCCTTCCATTTTCCTCTGCGCCCTTAAATAGGGATAATATTTTTTTCCCTGTAATGGATCAAAGCCTGCTCTTTGTGCATCCATATCTTATGTATTCTTTGAATAGCCTCTTTATTCTACAGAAGGATTACGTTGCAAGTGGACTCGTTTTTTGGAAACTCATTTTCTGAAAACAAACCTATATATTTCCTCGAACATTAGGGACATCAGTTCTACCACAAGAGTCTTCCTACCCTCTCCCCGATCTTCGCTCCCAGTTTGAAACTTAAACCTGCCCCTAAACTCTTAGGATTGCTTGCATCAAACGTGTCAGATCTACCTCCTAAACCTATTAGCTATGAATTAACACCAACCCATTTTTGGTTTTGCAGATGGAACCTGTAATCAGAAGTCTGGTCAATATCAGGGGTTATCCAGCCCTAGATGGGCAGGTTGTCTTATTAGTCTGTGATACTCTCCCAAAACTAGGCTATTGTGAAGCCAGAATTCTCAAATGCCTCAATCGTGATTCTACCTATCTGGAAGCTTTGCAATTCACTCTCCAAAGAATTGATATGGATAAAACTTTTTGAGCAACTCTGGATCTCTTAAAGATGTGCCCACCAACGCCAAAGGGGTCCCCAGCGGCAGGAGGAAGCAGGAGCCTAGACGACTACCATTCAGAGCATGATGATTTTGATTGTGACCAAAGAAGAGGAGGTTTGAAGAGGCAAAGGGGTTGCCCAACCAAGCCCCTAGGGAAGCCTTTAAGCACTATTCCGGAGAGCCTTGTTTGGAAAATCTTAGACCTTCCCCCGGACCTCCACATTTAGCCACTAACCTTCACTCCATTGATGGGCTAATCAGTTACCAGGGCATTCCTTCTGCTCCACAAACCGGCGAATTCTTTATGCCCCCCCCAAGCAGTATCCCCTCCTCGGCCACCATTCCCCCACCTACTGGTCACCCTCCTCCTCTTCATAGTGCAACTCACTTTGATTGGACTACCCCTTCTCTAACAGACTCCCAACCAATCACTAGTTTTGCACCCCCCCCCCTCTCTAGAGGATTGCCAAGCCAGACAGACCCTAGGAATATTTTTCCACCATGGTTCCCTTCTGATTCTGCAACAGACGAAGAGCTTCTGGCCAACTCCTCAAGCTCCTTGAACGGGGTTTGCCCAATCGTCATCGAAATGTTTGAGAGCGTCATCGAAGATCTTAAGGAGACGAACGATGACGCATCAGAGGAAGTCAGGTCTCTCAAGAGATTCTACCTGGCTCCTCCATGGAGCAGACGACTCAATTTTATCCAGCGAGCCATGCAGATTCAAGTAAGTTGGACAAATTTCCCAAGAGAGAAGAGAGAGGGGAAGGGTCTGGTTTTCCAAACCCAAGGTTTCCCAAGTAGATTTGCCGATTATTTGTGGCCACCTTTTCTTGACTCTGGAAGAGTCAGAAGGTTTCATCAATGAAGGCTTTGGACCACTACGCTTCGGCTTGGCACCACAAAAGCTACTACGCCTCTCCCGGCGAGTAAGTTTTTCCCCACCTTCTACCACAATATTACTTAATTAAGCCTTGAATTTAGTGCGACTATTTTTCCCCACGATCTTTTCCGTCTGAATTCAAAGCTTGCTTATTCTTATTGGAACCCTGTTGGGGCACTTATTTTGCCTCCCGGCCTTTTTCGGAAGGGTCTCCTTTATTTTGCTGATGATTCCGCCCCTCCAATCAAGCTAGCTTCCCAATGAAGAAGACCCCCGGGTATGCACCTAACACACTTCTATTTTGCAGGAAGGGAGAAGTTGATGAGTCTTTGGGGCAACAGAAGCAAAGGAAAAACTGGAAGGGAGCTAAGGGATCTTTCAAGCAATAAGACAAGAGCAAAACTTAGGAAGCATAAACCATGGAACCAGGTCTTCCTGTGAGGGAAATTTTGGAATTTTTCAATCATTTTTCCTCTCAATCTGATATAGCTATGACTATGGACTACTTGTCCAGACCTTAGGAATGACTCAGAAGAGCGGAGGACTTCAAGGCTGCTTCTCTTGCTGACCATCTTCTTTTTTGGATCAAACTTCTTGGCAATAAGGCTGATAAGAAGAAGTCAGTCAGGAACGTCCTCAATTGGATGACTAGGGGTGTCATCTTCAATTTTGTAAGAACTTCCCATACCCCCGAGGAGAAGATCGAAGAAGTATGGAAGATGGTAAAACTAGTGCTGAAGGAAAGAGCCTTTAGAATTCGTTATTCGTTAAAATAGGACATTATATTGTGTCCTCTTTCGAACGAATTCAGTTTCAGCTGCAGCCTTAGCAACCTAGGCATACCCATCCACTCACCCATCCACTCGCCCCATATGCGGAAGTGTATTGAGATCCATACTTGTTTATAATGAGCAAGGTGTGCCTGATATGCGGAAGTGTGCCGAGATCCAACCTTATGTATAATTCCGATGAGCAAGGCGCCTTGATTGTGTTCTTATCGGAGAAGTTTGATAAGTGTGCTGAGATCCATACTAAGTCTTATTTTCGATAATGATGAGCAAGGCGCTTTGATTGTATCCTTGTCGGAGAAGTTTGATAAGCGTGCTGAGATCCATACTTATTTCTGATTGTGATGAGCAAGGTGCCTTGATTGTGATGAGCAAGGTGCCTTGATTGTGATGAGCAAGGTGCCTTGAGCAGCACAACCTGTGACCCCCACTGATGGATAATCACAGCAACACAATGACGTCGACTCCTTAATGTGTTTGAATGTTGGAACGTCGAAAGTTCCGGTGGGCAGAGTTGAGGAAGGGAAGAAGGGAACTACCGCGCTTACTGCTCTGGGATTGAGCCTTCCCCCAATCCCCCATAAGAGCAGCGTGCTGCTCTTATGAGTGCCACATAGTGCGCCGGCCCGTATCGGGGCCGGCCACCTTAATCCAGGCCGACTTCATGTCGGGCACTGGTCTTATGGGTGCCACATAGTGCGCCGCGTTGCAGTGATACGAGCGGAAAAAGGGATTTGAAACCCCAACCTTACGTTACTCACACATGGCTTGTGAATGATGCAGCGTAAGCTCACGCCCTCGCCTATATAGGCTAGGCGCGCTCTCGCAGCGGAACAATCAACAAGAAAAAGTTATCGGTGCACCTGAGCAGTGGGGCGGAATAGGCAGTTGGACAGCAGGCGACCACTGCGGTGAATTCAGAGAAACCAGTGCCCCCACAGAGTTGCTCCCAGCGAGGCCGTTACGTGATGGCGCAGGGGCGACTCACGGCACGCGGGAACGCAAGCAGCACCGCGGACGGCACGTGGAAATGCAAGATGAATCTCACGCCCGCGACTGTGTCTAAAACTGCCATGCACCCCAATAAAAAATTTCCACAAGTGGACTAATTCTAAGAGCAGTGCAAAAGCAGAACAGGACGAGCGCAGGTGAAAACGAACGAGTACCGTAATTGGCAAGCAATTCGAAAAGACACGCGAGAACACAAACGCCTTCAAATAGGAAACTTGCAAACCGACGTGACAAGCAAGGGGCAGCAGTCCAATTTCACGCCTTACTTTCGACACACAACATACACAGAAATTGAATCGCACAAAGCACCGACATCGAAAGTTCGGATATCGGCGGACTATAATCTATTCGCCCCGCCGACAACGATCTTATGCAGGTTGTTGTACATGCAATACAAATCATAGAGCGCAACACGAGTTGTTCCACTGCACCAAAAGAGACTAAGAGAACGTCGTTCAAGGGCTAAAAGACATGCGAGAGCACAAACGCCTTCGAGTAGCAAATTTGGAAACCGACGTGACAGGCAAGGGGCAACAACCCAATTTCATGCCTTACTTTCCACACACAACATGCACAGAAAGTGAATCGCATAAGGCACCGGCATCGAAAGTTCGGATACCGGCGGAGCACAGCCTCTTCGCCCACCCCGACGTGAGAAGCAAGGGGCAGCAATCCAATTTAACGCCTTACTTTCCACACACAACATATAGAGAAATTGAATGGCACAGGGCACCGACATCGAAATTTCGGATATCGGCGGACTACAGCCTCTTCGCCCCCACCCCCGACAAGAGTCTTATGTAGGTTGCCGTACATGCAATAATAATCATAGAGCGCAACACGAGTTGTTCCACTTCACGAAAAAAGACTAAGAGAACATCATATAAGGGTTAGAAGACACGCGAGAACACAGATGCCTTCAAATAGCAAAATTGCAAACCGTCGTGACAAGCAAGGGGCAGCAATCCAATTTCACGCCTTACTTTTCACACACAACATACAGAGGAAGTGAATCGCACAAGGCACCGACATTGAAAGTTCGGATGCCGGCGGAGTACAGTCTCTTCGCCCCCCCCCCCCCCGACAACAATCTTATGTACCACAACCTACATAAGATTGTTGTCGGGGGGGGCGAAGAGGCTGTAGTCCGTCGATATACGAACTTTCGATATCGGTGCCCCGTGCGTTTGACTTGCAATAAAGATCATAGAGCGCAACACGAATTGTTCCACTGCACGACAAGAGACTCAGGCAACGAAGTCCACACATGAGAAAGTCATCCAACTACAAGAAAACAATGTTAAACTGCACGAAAATAGTACCACTGCCATACTGACCGCGAGCATCCCAAAGACAACGAGAAACAGACCCAATGAAGAAAACAATGTTGAACTCAGAAAGACATTTGAATAATGTCTTATGTTACCAAATACAATCGCCATAGAATGAAATGCATTTAAAGAATTATGTACAAGTCATTGAAAACTGTCAAAGACAACGTGATTCCAAGAGACATGTTGCCAGTTGTCATCTAATAACAGGCAAGTCTTTACTCGAGAATCGGAAAGGGGGTCGATCACCACGTTGCAACAGCGTTGCAAATGTCAACATGAACACCCCGCAACTAGCTTCATCCACTTGCCTTGGAACTCCTTCCACAACAATTTTTCTGACCATAGTCTTCCAACTCCTATCCGACCGGCTATGTGAGGTGTGACGTTCTAAATACTATACAATTAACTCGAAAACACTACGGTAGAAACTGGAATCGGCTTTAACGCGAGGAAAAAAGTCAAAAATTTTGAAGACATTGTCTCTCAAATTAACGGAAAGGAGGATCCAATGATCATTATGTTTGTGCACCGGAACGAAGATCATATCGAACAAAAGCAGATCTACGTTTTTAGCCCACCTCTCCACCCCAGTGTGTCCTCGAAGTTGCAGCATACTGAAGAAGAAAAAATTGAAGCTGAAGATTCGAAGGCCTGATGGCAGTGCACGTGTCGCGGATGTCGTCGACCCCAAAAGGGCCATGTAGAAATTCACCACCTCATTGTTGATCTTGCCATTGGCTTGCAAAACGGTGAGCATATCTTTCGCCGTGATTCTGAATTGATCATCCGCAAAGAAAGAGCGGACATGATGAGGAGGCACCACGCTGCGAGAAACATCGTCCATAACCCGCGAGACTTGAGGCGCAATCGCCGTAGCGAAATGCTCCCCTCAGGCTGCAGGTGCTATGGCCCGAGCTGCACATCATCGACCAACGCACACGCGGGGAAGTGAGAAAGGAAATTCTAAAGGTTGTCGTTCACCGCACTACACGTCGCTAAGTATTTTTCATACATGGCCTCACCCCTAGTCACAGATCGTGGATATGTCCCCTTCTCCGCAGGTAGAAGAGAAAGACATTCGTCAATGGCTAAGACATGCTCCTTCTCTCCAATCTCGACATCAACCCCTGATGCCTTTAACATATTCTTGTTTCTTGTCGTGAATCTCGGAAGTTTCTGCAATACACGTGTCGAATATTTTGAGAAACTCCTTTTTCGAGACGACCGGACCCCTGTAAAACAAAGAACAGACAGAACCCGAAATGAATATATGATTCCCAGGAGGAGTTCGACGAAAGTGACAATGCGAAAGATAATGTAGCCCACAAGATGATGGACTTCTCCAAATAGCAAACTCGTATTTCGCAGCGACAAGCATGCGTGCATTCGAACATAAAACGACGAGCGCTGTCGAGCCCAAGACCCCAACACATGACAACGAAGACCACATCAAGCCAAAGAAGCGGAATGCCTAGCAATGCTGAAGTTCGGATTTCGGCGGACTTGAAGCTACAACTAGCAGACACGGACCAGCCGGGTTTGGTCCTGACACTGGAACTGCGGTGACCGGAGGAAACCGGAACTACGAAGGGTATGTTTTCTAGTCCGGCGGTATCCGCACTTCAAGTGCCGGCGCGAGGTGGAAAGTCTGCATTTGCCGATGTGCGGATTCCAGCGGACTTGCAGCCACAGTTCACAAACACCGACCAACGGGGTGTGCTCCACCTCGCGCCGACACTTATAGTTCGGATGCCGGCGGACTTCAGAACAGACCTTCCGTATTACCGTTTTTCCGGCGGTTTTCGCAGTTCCAGTGTCAGGACCAAACCCGGTTCTGCGACCTGACCTGCTGGTTGTAGCTGCAAGTCTGCCGCAATCTGAACTTCGGCATTTGTAAACATTCCTCTTCTTTGGCATTATGTGGTCTTTCGTCGTCATTTGCAGGGTTCTCGGGCTAGACTGCGCTCGTTGTTTTATGTGCGAATGCACACAAGCTCGTCGCTGTGAAATACGTTTATCGGACGGTCTATCTTGTAGTCCGCCGGTATCCACACTACAGGTGTCGGCCAGAGATAGAAAGTCGAGACGGCGACAGAGGACTTGTAGAGGGAGGAGCGGATGAGCGGTCGCAGAATGAGCGTGACGGTGTGTTAAAGAACAAGAGGAAAATTGGTCCTCGCTGACAAGTGAAGCGAAATTTTGTCCATCTAACGTGGGGCATAAACCGAAACGCGGGAGTGCTGACATCGCGACGATCGTCAATGCTTACCAGCTTGTTTTTCTTTCTGCTCCTTCGTCGGCGACGTGGGCGCTAGTAAGGCGAGGACAGCCAGGGCCGGAGTGCCTACCCTGCACTTTTTTGGGGACGTGACGTGCTGGCCGCCCCCAACMCCCCCCCCCCTTCCTCCTGTGAGCGGTGACGAGGGTACCGGAAACCACGGCTGGATGAGCGCCAAGTCCCTGGCCACGAAAGTTTCGTTGCTCACTAGGGCATCGTCTTTTGACGGGGTGGACGAAAGTGTTTGAACTTGCTCGCCGCCCAGTATGGTATCGATGACCTCTTTGACGCTAAGACGGCGAGTCATTTTCGCCAGGCTCACTGTCATGATAGCCTCGTTGCCCCCGTCGGGGGGACGCACCGCCGTGGCCTGGTGGTGGGCGTCATATTCTTCGTGGTCCACCGAAAGGCCACTAACCACCTGCATCTCCATCTTCATCGCCGTCGCGTCGTCGTCGATATCACCTTCACCTGGTCTGGCGTACACCAGACCGAACGAATCAGATGTCTCCCCACAGACATCCTCGTCTCCGGCATCCACCCTTTCCTCGTCTGTAATACTGAGTCCTCCTTCTTCACTGTCTTTGTCGTCGCGCAATGTAATCAACTCCGTCTCTCGCCCTTCGTCTCCTTCTCCCCCCTCCTCCCATTCTCCCCCTTCTTCCCCGCCCTCGACTTTCACCCATTCTTCCCCCCCGTCAGTCTCACGCGACTTGGCTCCTTGCAGCCGCATGAAGGCGGATCCCAAGGAGTGGTCGTCTGTACGAACAGACGTAGGACCTTCCTCTGTTCCTACCTCCTCCGACTGCAGGCACGTCACCGATGAAGTACGGAGACCGGCGGACTTTGTGGCAAGGAAGGTGGACGGCGCTGCACCAGCAATCTCTCTCTGTGACTCCGCAGATCGGCCTTGTCCAAGGCCCGGCGGCGTCGCCTCCCGGACAGCGAGGGCAGCTCCCACCTCCGACGGCTGTGCTCCTGTAGAGCTCCACTAGACCGGTACACTCGCCTGAACGTCGTCCGCCCTGGTAGGGATGCCCGCGGACTTGCCCTTCACGGCGGAGACAGGATCCCCTTCACATGAGCCCCACCCTACTTCAGCGGAGGAGCCAAAAGCAGTCCACGAGGGAAGGGCCGCCTGCTCCAGAGTCATCGAAGTGCGGATGCCGGCCGACTTCGCTGCCTCCACGGGCACTGGGTCCTCCGTCTGCGAAGTTCGGATGCGGGCGAACTTCCTCGACTTGCCGCTCCCTGCTGTTGGGGAGTGTGTGACGTTCACCCCCCCTTCCCCCACGCCGCTGTGCACGATCCTGCCCTGATCGCCAGGGCCAGGCGATGATGCCGACGCGCTTCCCCCTGATTTCGTATGGCCACTGACTCCGCGACCTCCTTCCTCGTGACCACTGCCTCCCCCCCCTCCGGCCCCGGGGGGGCTCCGAGGTCCTTCTCCCACACTACCCTGGGTCCCTGTCGACGGGGGTACTTTCCAGTTCATCTTTTTCTTCGAAGGGCTCATCTCGAGGTCGTAGAAATCGTCAGAGAGTTCCAACCACTGCTTGTCATGAAGTTTCCGAAACAAGCGATCAGCAGTGGCAATGATGGCCGAGTCGGCAGGCTGCAGGTTGCTGTTCTCTAACGTCACTTTGTCCACCACAGCACTCCTCGCGATATCCAAGTAGTCGGACTTGGCGAGGCGCTCGGACGGCTTCCATTCCCCGTCAGTGTCGACTATGGCCATGACCCACTCCCCCTTCCGAATTGCGGGCTGGATCGTCCCCGGGTGCCAAATCATGTCATGACCCCAGTCTGCCTCCGTGGAACGAGTGTGGTCGTGCCCTTCGAAGTGGATGTTCTCATCCTTCCGAGAAGGATGTTGCAGGGGGACTTGACACCCTGGACGCAGAGGAGGAGACGCAGCAGGCCGAGGTGTCAATCTTGCCAACAGCTTACTAGGGGTCCTCTGCACGGGCGTCGCTTGTGCGGGCTGGTTTGTTGAGGGACTCGCCGACGAGGAGGCCGGGGATGGGAGCACCGGAGCAAGGCGGTAGTCGATGTCAATTTCTTCGGTGTCGCTATCCTCCTCAGGTGCACCAGTGTCGAAGACAACACTGGTGAGGGACTCTTCGCCGGCGTCGATCAAGGCACCGTAACTCTTGAGCGACCGGCTCGGATTCGACAAAGTACAATAACTCCAGTCGGTCCAGGAAGTTCTTCGCGTCCAGGCGCGTGGCGCCGTGATAGTTGTCTAGCAGCGCCAACATGTGTTCCTTGCGGCACATGTACTCGATGTCGGTGCCCCCCACAGGCCGCTTTTCCAAGAAGAGGAACTCGTAGATCCTGTTCCTTTTCCGGGCGCTTAGCTTGAACCACATGTCCGTCGAAGGATCCCAAACGCGTCTCGGCTTCTCACTCTTCGTAATGAACTCGCAGCGGTATGCTCCCGAGTTGACCGCGGTTTTCAGGAAATCCAACGTGAATTGCAACCACTCCGAATTCCCCTCCAACGCGATGACGTTGCGACCACCCTTCAAAACCTCCCACACGACTTGTGCGTGCGCTTTTCCGAGGAACATGATGCCCTCCCCGTTTTTGCAAAGGAATTCCAGCAGATGGGCGAATTGCGTGGGGTTCCGCTCATGGCCCTTGTACACCATGGGATCACGCCCATGTATCACGAGGGGCCATTCTCAAGCGTCGAACGGGATCTCGGATATCTCAGTGGGAGTCACTTTCTGATGTGCCCCCACTGCGGCAGCATCACCCGCCACCAACCTCGCGTCGTAGACAACACGTGTTCTCCCGCAAGTCGTCGCCTTTGAAAAGGATGTACATGCGGTTGTCCAAGGAGTACAAGTTGTGGCCGACACCGAAACTTTTCTTCTGCTGCGTCCTCCTCACCCACTTCCTGGCCATTGCCTTCACGACGGATAGATGGTGCAGGTTGGTCATGAAGTAGTAGTCGTGCTCACGGGGAACAAACGTGACTACTGTCCAGTGCGAGGGGAACAAGTGCTCAAGGAGGGCATTCAAACTCTCGAAGACTTTAGCTGTTCACTGTTTGATGTCCACCGGTTCGCAGAAGTCAAGAACGCACGTGTGGCATTTCGTGATTCCGACCGCCCTCTCCAACTCCACGACCTTCATCTGCGACTCCAGAGGGTCGACGCCGAACGAGGCAATAGATGTGACGTCCTTCGAGTCGTTCCACAGAGTGTGCACCATCCCTTCGGCCGGTGCGACTTCCATGCTTTTCGACCTACTGCCGGTCAACACAGAGAGGACCTTGTTCTTCCAGTCGATGGGCAGCTTCTTGTTTTGGACTAGCTTTTCTGTCGACGCCTTGATCGACTTGTCGTCCTCGCAACCCATGTAGGGCGGACAGTCCTTGAACAAGGAGGAGTCGGTGACAAGTTTCCTGCTCCTGTCCCATAACGCTACATCCAGCCCTTGCCCTTCGAACTTTGCCAAAATCGCCTCTCGTTTTTTCAGGAAGGGGTACTTAGAGGTCTAGTCACTGTCTGGCCGGTTCTCATGCTTGAACTGGTAGTAGTTCCACAACCGCACCAATATGCGATCGGACTTCACCAGTTGCACTGCCTCGTGCATCCCGAGCTTCCCTTGCTTTGCCAACGCGGAGGACCCTGTCTGCACCCAGACCACCTCACAGTCTAGAACCTTCTTCAACAACCGGCATTTCTCATTGTCAGTAAGGGCCTCCATGCTCTTCCAGCAGTGCGGATCCGGCTCGGTGACCTGGACGAACCAGTCGCCTGGCTCATTTTCCTTCATTTTGTGGCGCTTCGACGGGGACATTGTAGACGACTACCTTTCGCCCGTCCTTCTCGTTTTCGATGTGGCTCACACCTAGCTTGAGGCCCTGCACCTTCTTCTTCTTCGCGATCCACTTCGCTCCTTCCGGTGCCAGCAGTCTGCCCGTTTCCCATCTCTTGAAAAATTCCATCCCGGTTTCCCATGTGTTTTTTTCTGCCATCGCGAGCGGGAAATAAAAGCGAAGGGCAGCGTTTTGTTTCTTGATTCCTTGCTCGGTCTTGTCATCAGCGAGAGTCCACAAGTGATTGTACGACGTCTTTTGGAGCACCTCCGCACAAATTCTTCGCCATGCCTCCACCTGCGCCTGTTTCCTGCTGAGGTTACCCATAACAGCTTTCGGGTAACCCAATTCCTTCCAACACCACCGAATGCCTCTCATGGAGAGTTTCAGCTGTCTCGGAGGGGCCTTCAGGTCTTTCTTGTTGTCCTCAGCGCTGACCAGAAAGTACCCCTCAAAGTCCTCGTCGGAGAAGTACACCATTCGTGCAGGCCAGCGCTCGAAGTTGTACCTCACCGCCACATCGGTGCCAAGCAGCGCCCTGGCCGCAGCCGCGTTATGCTGGCCCGCCACAGCGTAGTAGTAGTATTGCCCTGCCAGCTCGTCCTTCCAGTCCTCCGGCTTCAGACGATCCGCCTGCACCCCGGGCGTCGGTTTAACCAGCCCGAGAGGCGCGAGCTTTAGTGTCGGCAACTCGTAAGTCTTCTCGGCCTGAGAGTAGGCCGTCGTCATTGCGTCAATAATGTCCCGTATTTCCACGGGATCCAAGGAACACTGGTTGTAGGCCGCCTCCCACACGCCGATGTCGATGACTTGCGACGGGTTAATGGCGAACTCCCGCTTTGTTCGCACGCCGTTTTTCCATTCTAGGAAGTATGCCGCGTCGATGTCGATGACACCTCTGGGCTGGACAGGGGCCGATTGGGGTGGCTTCTGAGCCGAGGCCGGGCGCTTTTGACTCGACGCGCCGACATGCCCCTCAACTCCCTTCCTTTTCCCCCATGACTGCTGTGGAATCTTTGTCTTCTGCTTCTTTTTAAGTCCTGACGCCTCCCCCTCAGAACCTCCCCTTCTCTTTTGTGTAGAGTGCTGTTCCCCTCCCTCCCCACCGGAAACGACGCCAACTGTCCTGTCCTTCGACCCCAAGGCGCGAACGCCACCTAACGTCGACGGCTGCTTGACGACCGTTGCCCCTCTCTCAGCCCCCGGAATTCTCAGCGTCCCGCGATCTCCGAGTCTATGCTGCGAAACTCGCGTGTCCTCCTCTTCTTCCTCCTCGCTGTCATCGAAGCGACCACGTTCCTCACCCTGTTGGGGCTGTACTGAACCACCGGAACCCATTTCCTCGCCTTCGGTGGGAGCCCCACTGGAAACGAACCCGGAGCACATTTGCACAGGAAGCGACAGTTCGAGCTCGCTCGAAATTTGGCAGGGATCGTCGAGGTCGAAGTCGCTTTTCTCGACCTCGTCAAAAAACTCCCTAGCCGAAACCAGACCTCCCTCCGCGACTTCAGTGTAGAAAGGGGTCCTCAAAGCCCCCCCACCAAACCCCTGGAACAGATCCCGCGAGAGAATCGCCCCTTTCGCACCTGCCAGAACGTCGCCCTTCGAATTGTAAACGACATGCATCAGGTAGCACTGCTTGTCGTGTTTTTTCGATGGCTGCCATCCCTTGACCAAGCCGAGCACTCGTCGTCCTTCTCTATCTTCCACGAAGATGACAGGACCGCAAGGCCGTTTCATGGGCTCGTCATCTTCAGTGAAGCACCAATTGACGAACCACTTCGTGTGCGCATGATTCGACCACGATTTTCCATTCGTCGACTCCCTCCCCGAGGTCCCCGTAGGCTGCTCCTCGCCTCTTGACGTAGACATTGTGTCTGCACCAGACGTAGTGGAGGATGCATTTGAAAACAAACAACACCGCCAACAATTAGCAAATGGGGAAGTCCGGATATCGGCGGACTACAAGCTAGGCATATAGAAAAGCAGAACATTGCAAAGGGAAAAGCAGGTGCGCTGGCGGCGAGCGAACAGCGTATAGGGGAATGGTGGTTGTCGACAGTTAGCACGCAAACGGGCAGCTTTAGAACTCTTTATAGCATATGTTAGAAGTTCGGATTCCGACAAACTTCGTCCATCGGAGGTTAAGATTGCGCACGTTTCTCATATTGCGGACCTCCTTCGTTCTTCCGGACTGTAAAATTCCAGGCCGAGAGATTGCTGGGACTTGTGGTTACTATGGAAGATCGCTCTACCACCGGAGAATATGTATCATGAGCGATGTCCGGATTCCGGCGGATTTCAGCAAATGCTGATGGGGCATTGTGACAAGGTCCAACCTTGTTCCACCAGAATCCGAGGCAGACGGTGCATGAAGTTCCAACAGAGAAAGACGTGTTCGCGTAGTTCGGATGTCGGCGAACTTCCTATCTTACAAGCATCATAGTGGTCGACAATTGTGCACGGTGATTGTGCATCATTAGGAATCAACTGGCTGGCAGACAGTGTGCAAATGCCATAACGCGAGAAACCGTGCCGGAGGGCAGTTCCGTTCGCGAGGTGCGAAACTCCGCTCGAAACAGACCCACATCAAACAAGAAGGTCCACCGAACTGACCACAGTTGCGAATGAGCATCCCGAAAGACTGCCCGAACAACTGTTAACCTGCGGGATCCGGGGGGGGGTGTTTTGTTTGTGGAGTGCGAAACTCTGCTCGAAACAGACCCTGATTCGACAAGAAGGTCCCAAAACTTGACCCTTGTTGCGATTGAGCATCCCGAAAGACTGCCCCAAAAACTGATAACATGCGGGATCCGGGGGGGTTGTTCTGTTTGTGAAGTGCGAAACTCTGCTCGAAAGTGACCCAGATCCAACAAGAAGGTCCCTAAGAGTGCAGTTGGCCATTCGCGACAGCAACGAACGACTGTTTGGCACATCTTGAAGGCGATTGCACGACAACCGCATCGGGACGAAAGCCTTCCCGCACACGTGTGTCCGGGCCAGTGACGCATCGAGTTTCTTTGAAGCTCGGATGGGGGAGGACTAAGAATGCCAGTAGATAAAGAACGGATCCATATGCCAGTCCGTGAATTACTTGGACTGCAGTCGCTTCCTCACGCAACTCGACGAACCGTAGAGCGGCCTTTGACACACCCACGCATCACCCGAAATGCGAAGTTCGCCGGGATCTGAACTTCGGGAGGGGGCGACCGGAAGAGACAGGCCGCACTTAGTTGACAGGCTGGTTGAGAAGGCCGTTGAAGTGCCTCACGGATTTCGCACAAGGAGGAAACGGTTCTGCCAAGCGCATGTGCGTCTCGGGACTCATGGTCTCCGGTGTCGAGAATATCGAATGCATGATCCGTGGTGTCGAGAAGTTCCCTTCCATTACGCACCCTACACACCACGGACACATATCAAACGAAACACACGGCAACGTACACAGTCGTAAACGGAGTCCGCAAATGGCCACTCCCTATTTACCACACCTACACGTAGTCGGTAGGTCACGAACTGTATATTCACGAGGTTCCACACGCTTTGAAGTACTGCACATGCACAGGGGAATGCGTCCCTATGATAGGGGACCCAATGACAAGGCGGATGAGAGGCGAAAACCTGATGTTGGCGACACCTGTCTACAACACGTTTAACATCCTGAATCGTTAACACCCCACAGATGAAGCTACGGAAAGTTGAAGTCCGTGCATTGAAATTGAAGTCAATTCAAAAAAACATCGACAGACGCGGGTCGAAAAAGCACGGTCGCAATGCGAAGAACGGTCAAACCGAAGTGTTTGTAGGAAAGCGAAGGTCAGCGGGATCCGAACTTTGAGAAGGTGCAAGAAACTGGGAGATAAAGAGCTCACCGCCACAACACGTTTGTAGGAATGCGAAGCGATTGCTGAATTCCACTGCCCAGGAGGGAAACCGAAGTCTCGTTGGGAGAAGGTCGATAATTGGTAGTCCGTCGGCATCCGAACTTGTGTCCTTGATGCAATTAACGGGCCGCCGGAAACACCAAAGTAAGAACCTGCATCATACGGAAATGCGAAGTTCGCCTGGATCCGCACTTGACGTTTGCGCCAATATCCGTCCCTGCGTGCTTTCTGGAATCGTGGCACACAAGGACGACCACAGTCTCAAAGGTGGCCCGACGAGAAGGCGGTTTCACGGTATTCTACGCGGCCAACGTCCGAAGCTCCGATCCGCGCAAGCGTGGTCGATGACTGAATTTCGGAGCCGCTCGAAGTTCGGATACGGGCGGACTTGGTTATTGTTCAAACCCAAGGGCAACCAGGCGAGCCACAGACAGGGCTCGTCCATAGCTTCGCGAGAGCGCGTGAGAGAGCCATACACGGTCTACCGAGCTCTCAGTCCCGCGGTATCTTGAAGTCAGGATTCCGGTGGACTTCGCATTCCAGCACATTAAGACAACACCATAAATTCGCCCGCACCCGAACTTGACGCGTTTCCAAACGGTCGTCCACCTTTTTACGCTCCGGAAGTCTCATGTCTAGCTATCGATCGTCAGAAGAAGTTCGGATACTGGCGAACTTCGAGTATTTTCCATACCGCCTTTGGTCCTTTGATGCGCATGCGGTACCAGGCCTGCGTTGCTGTGCGAATCGAGTGGCTCATGAGAGGGCGAATGGGAATGGGAAATTCGTCGGGATCCGGACTTCGTCGGGTGGTGGTTTTTTTTGTCAAATCCATATCAGGGTTCGATGGCCGACGAGGTTTGATGGTCGACGAGGTTCGATGGCCGATGAGGTTCGATGTCCGACAAAGGTTCGATGGCCGACGAGGATCAATCGACCGCTGCAAGATCTTCGTTCAACCAGCGATCAGATCTAACCTCCGTTGGCCACCAAACTGTCGTTCCGATTGTACACCATTCAGTTCCCAATGATTGATCGACTGCAGGGCGGATGTGTAGCGGAAGTGGGGGGCGGATTGGACATTCGTTGATAGAACGATCAGAAAAGAAAAGAAGAAGACAGTGTCGCTCCGTTCTTCATTGTTGGTTTCGTCTTCCAATCAATCAAATCGTATCGATGAAAATCATTCACTCAATCAAATCAACCATGTACCAGCAGTCCATTCTTCCGATTTCGTTCATCATATCGATGAACGTGCCGTCTCGCCAATATATTGTCATGTGTTGGCTGAGAACTCGTTCCGATTTTACTCATCCTGCACACAAACACTGACTGACATTGCCACGTTTCAGGAGATTGGAATGACTTGCCTGCACTGCAATCACCTGCAATCGGTCGACTGTTGTTCATTTCATCGCAGGCAAGTCCTTCCCTTCTCTTGGAGCGTCGAATTGGGAGGATAAACAAAACTGAGACGCGTTCTCAGCCAACCGATTGATTGATTGAACAATCCAGCAATCGGATCGGACATTCATTGATTTGATGAACAACTCTTATTGGAGTGGAAAAATAAAAAATGAGTTACAGTTCCGTTTTCGTTTTCGTTATCCATTCAGTGAATGGTAATCTGTCAATCATGCTTCACTCGTGGATTGAACGATCCAGGCGTAGGTTCATTCGATTTCGCTCATCGTGTCGATGGGAATCTCTCAATAAACCAAAGCAATCATATTCCACGCGTGGATTCATTAGATTTTGATCATCGTGTCGATTGATCAAACGTCACACCTAAATATTTCCCATGTCCACCGGATTCGTTCCGATTTCACTCATCCTGCACACAAACATAGACTTACATTGTCGCACTTTGAGAGAGGGGAATGAGTCGCCTGAGATAAAGTTAACAGCAATAGGACGAGACATTGGTTGATTGAACGATCCGGCGCTCCAATCGGACAATGTTTGATTGTTTGAACAGCGGCGGAGGAGGCGCGGGGTTGGGGACGAAGTGGACATTCATTGACTGAACGTTCGAGTGCCAAAAAACAAATACATTAGTGCTCCGTTCTCCTTACTCGTTTTCGTCTTCCCTTCATTCAGCCAAAACCATTTAGCCCAGCATCCATCCGATCTCGTTCAAACCGCGCAGCGTCTCCAGCGGAGTGCCCGTATGCACATGTGCTCAAGTGCGCGAGTGTGTCGTCTTTGGATTTCAGTCAACTTGCGCAAGCGATCAACCGCGCAGACAATCAATCAGCGAAATGAATCATCAGCCAGATCGGACTGAATCATCACGCAGATCGGAGTGAATCCTCAGGAAGATCGGAGTGAATTTTCAGCCTTCGCGGTTGATCGGCTGCGCAAGGTGAATCTATGCAAGGATGACACACTCGCGCACTTGAGCACATGTGCATATGGGCACTCCGCTGGAGACGCGCGCATTGCAAATGCACACACTCGTTCACAATACAGGTGGCGGGGAGCAGGTCGCACCTGTAGGACACACGCGCATTGCATACATGCCACGTCATGCATCCACGAACAAAAACCTTCCGCATGGAGACGCGCACATGCACATGCACACACTCGTTCTGTCTGCATAAACACATCCGCACACATTGACACACGGAGTGAAGAGCGATCAAATCGAAACGGACACGTGCCAACTCACCGGATGAACCCGTCGACAATGGACGAATACGCAAGCAGGTCGACGCGCACAGGCGGATGACCACGTGAGCAGGTCGATGTGATAGGTGGACGATAAAGCGATCCGCGAGGAATATGGCGTGGACAGACACGT